TACATGAAACTGAGTCCTAGTCGTCCTCACCAATGGTGATGAGCGGATGTAAAAGAAATTTCGGCTAGAATGAGTTAGCGACCAAAATATTCAAATATCCAAACGTACACAACTTGTCAAGTCGGAAGAATACAACGACAAAAAACAGAAGACCAGTAGGAAGAAAAAAAATCATATACTTTCCAGAATGTCCGTAAGCGAAACGAAATGAAGTACGAATGAGGTCTTTCTCACCGACAGTCATTAACGCTATGCACATATCCAGCGCTAGAGCAATGCAATTCATCAAAGAGTGACATACATCAGTGCGTACCTTGTACAACGTCGTAGAAGCCTAGGACCACTGTGAAGTTTTTATGTTGTTCCACCACTTCACCGCTGCTTTCAAGTCGACCGACAACATTTACGATCGCCCGATCACCGTGAGAGGGAGCATGTAATTGATCACCCTTCTTTAATATCTACGATATCAAGATCATGAGTCTAATTAACGTGAGGTCATCACTGTCATCCTCTTCACGGCACAAGATAGAAGGTAACCTCAAAATAATTAGAGCGCTAATAATCGCACCAGGGATTCTATCTGAACTTCAAAAATTTGATTTATTTCAATATTCAACAAAAACTTATTGCTTTCATGCCAAGTGTAATCTTCTCTTTTACTAAACAACCGTAGCCATGTGATAAAATTTGATCAAGTGCTTAGTAACGTAATAATTTCAAACGTAGAATGATTTATAGTTATGCTAATCCTCTTTTCACCGTCACCCTATCAACGTAGTCAGAAACGTTAGTCTCTAAGTAAAATCATAAGAATAATGATGCCTTGGTTCAACCGTTCGGTTGTACGCAGCCGTGAGCGGTGCAAACGGTTTTGCTCTGCTACGTGACCCGGTTAAACGACGCCTGTACGATGAGTGGTTTACGTCCACAGATCTGAACGTAATAAGCGAGCACATGAGGAAGAAGAATTAGAAGAATAGTTTGAATTGTCATTCTGTATTGATGATGAATTGCAAAGTGTTTCACATCAGCCTTTAATCTCCTGTTCCAAAAGAATTCGTCATGACTAGAGAGTTTGTAACTTATGGCGGTCGTAATTACAACATTGCAGCCCTCCGTTACATAAGCAAATGCTTCTTTGGGTGTTAAGAAAGCATGATTTTAAAGGAAAACCTTGAATGCTGATTATCCAAATGACCCAACAACAACTTTAATTTACATATTTAATTTGCAAACACACTGACATTCAAAAAGAAATGATCCACAAGCAAAACAGAGCAGAAGAATTCATCGAGGGGTTCCTGCTAAGGATTTGATAAGCCAAACACCAATCTGTGAGGTACTTGCTAAAGCGGAGGATGAACTAAAATGAATAAAATGCAAATTGGGCAGTTGAACGGAATAAATAACCGATGTTTGACCACGATGGACTATGGATGGATGCAAACAGAAAGCAAGTTAAATAAAGCCAAAGCTCCATGGCAGGCAAAAACCGCAAATATGGCATGTTAAAAACGAAGTCCATCATTCTCATCAGTCGTATGTGCTCGGCGTTGCGCCAGCTAACCGCGATCTTTTGAAATGTCTGGACTCTGACTGAATTAAAATCGGTTGGTCTGCTTCAAAAAGTTGTCTCAACCATACGTCTCTTACTCCTGCCCCTTCGAATGGCCGTTGGAAAACGACGGAGACACTTCAAATGGAAATGTTCATTAAACCGTTGCAAGATCATTGTGGGCAAGAACCGCTGTTACGAGCCTCACCACGTAGTCATACGGAGCAACTTCAGGGGGTGGCAGATTATACGACTGATTTGGGGCAGTTCGATGAACTCGGGAGATTTGCATTCAGGAAGAAATCATGCCAAACTGGCTCTTACAGTGAAAATTTCAGCCTACAGATCACTGAAAATCATGAAGATAAATATCAGCTGTAAAATGCTGCAGGTCTTCACCAAGCAAAAACGGAAACGATGCTACTTCTTATGAACAGAAAAACCTCGATGAACATGTCCATAAAAAAGTGTTCATATGCACATGTGAATGTTTCGTGACCAGCATCAACAAAACACTTACTTTTCTTTGCATATCCGAGTTGCCAATCACATCTTCCCACCCATCCTTGTCGTCGATAATATTCTAAAATCAATATCACGCGGAGGATAAAAAAATAACATGTAAAATACATCGGTGTTCTTAGAACTCTGTGCTAAGCGGCCGTCGATTTCTGATGAGCTCTGAAGCACCGGCTGATTAGAAGAAGAAACGAGACCGTCTTGCTCCATCCGCAGCTAAAAGTCAATAGCAGCAATCTTCGACGAGGTCACAAGAAGTCGGTACTAGAAACCGAGCTAAAATATGTATGAGCCAACTCAGAAGCCATATATAAACCGAAACACTTTCAATGTCAATACATGAGGTAGGAATACAGTTAATTCGACGGCTGCTTGTGCAACGATAATCGAAAAGCTTTGGAATGCGGAAATTCGAAGTACAGTGCTTCTTAGACGCTCCTTTTTCACAGATAAAAATTACTACTTATACATTACGAATACATGCTGAGAATGCGGGGAAGAGAGCTATGCTGTATGGCGGACGAGTTGAAGGTAGTGTTGTTGAGACCATCACTGCACCGTAACGCTGATCATTCTGGCTCTGTCGCCCATGCCCTGGAGAATGGTCATGGTTTTAACAACAGTGAAGTAACAGTTGTCGATCGACAACGGGACAAGCTGAAGTTATTAATCAAGGAGCCGCTACACATCGCTGCGGGTAAAAGTAGAACGTGCAACGGTTGGTTCCACTGTCATTTCAGCGGCATGGAGCATGATTCATCGTTTAATCAGAGACCGAGCTATTGTCCAGCCAACCTGGTCAATTACCAACTGACTCAGTAGTTTTCGTTGTTTTTCGGTGTTCATTCCCTGACCATGATTGATGCAATTCGGTTGAAACGTTGGAACTGTTGGATTATAAAATTTTGCCATGCTTACTCGAGCTGCCAACCATGGAATCAGAAGACCTATCATCTTTGAGGCCATCACCTTGAGCAGTTTGCGCATACAGAACATCTCTGTTGGGTTGTGGTGTCTGCTATACTGACAGCTTTCCAACACTTTTGCTATGAGATACCAGTTACTCCATTGTGTAACAAAATATTCGTCTCTGAAAGCAGATATGTTCCTGCTTTGTTCCTCTGTGTGGCATGTTGACGTCCTCTTCGACGTCTGTCGTGTTTCGGTTCCATACGAAGCGCTGAAGGACTTGAATAAATGGTTTCTTCCCAACCGATCTGTCTAACACGGCCAATCGTATTTTCTTAATATACAAGTCTACTGG